GCTCCCTCTACTGAGAAAGCTGAACATCGTGCTCCCTTTAAAGGAGAAAAAGGAATTGAGTTGTTTATTACAGAGCACAAGTTACAACGGTGCGTTCTGAGCTGATGGGCAGCACATTCGAAAGTGAATCCCTTACTCCAAATGTGTTTCATCAAGGACAGTCCGGTCCCTTTTAAGGCTCACCTGACAGATAGGGCACATCCAGTCAGGACAACTTCCCTTTCTTAAAACCAACTGTATCTCATAACATAATTGCCAGAGTGGCTCTCCCATCGTGTTCACCATCCCAGGTTTAGACAGGGTGTGTACGCCAGGGGATGGGAATCTTGGGGGAAAATCTTAGAATTCTGCCTGCCACAGAGGGGTGGGGGCGGAAGAGGAGGTGGTGATGGGAATGACTCATTGCTACATGAAAAAAACTCCCTGTAAAGTAAATAGGTTGTATTTCATTCCATGGCTTAAATACATTTTTAACTTTCACAGAGAAAAAGAAGGAATAGCTAATATTTCTGGAACATCTATTTGTTCTACTATACAGATCTACTACACAGAGTACTTTCATATATTAACAGCTTAACCTCTTAAGGTAGGGGTTTTTATCTTCATTTTATAAAAAGGGAAACAGGCTTGGGGTTGTAAAGTCACTTGCCTGGAGTCACTTCATTAATATTTTTTTTTAAGATTTTACTTGTTTATTTATTTATACAAGAACCAAGTACAGGCCAGATGCGCGGGAAGGTGAGAGGATTCACCAGAGACAGAGCAGGGAACAGAACAGGCAGACTGATGAAACACACTGCTGAGGGGTGCAGCAGGCAAGGCAGGAGAGGTCTGCTGCGCCATGTGGGACCCTTTCCGGGTGGCCGGGGATTGAACCAGCGCTGCAGAGGCTGCAGACAGCTTCACAGCGCTGCGCTCAACCGCCTGCACCACCAGGGGAGGCTCCTTCATTAATATTTAATGTGCCTGGAATGAAGATCCAACCCTGTCGGACACTAAATTCTGTATTTTCAAATAGTATCTAATAATGTTGCTGCCCTTGAAAGAATTTGTGTCGTTGGATTGGCATGAGGAGATTTGGCAGAGGTCATCTCAGTGGAGAAGGAGATAGTTACTCTTCTACATATCTGCTGTCCCTTCTGGACCCCATGGATAGAGGTCACTCCTGTCACCCCCCTGGCTAGAGAGACAGTTGGTCAGAGAGAAGATCTAGCAGAGATTCCCAATTCCAACAGGGAAGCCAGGCAGCTATCTGCTTGATCTGTGCAACTCTGAGCAGTAACCATGCCTTTGTTCCCTGTTTTCGTGTCAGAATGTGGAACAAAAGAACAAAGCAAGGTTTGAGAGGGAGTTGGGTATAGCCTTTCCTGTGGGGAGGGCATATTTATGCTTTGAGAATTCTAATAATCAAGAGCTGAGCGCCTAAGTGCCAGGAGTTGTTTGTAAAAGGAAAGCTCTTGTGCATTTCTCTTCCAGACCACACTTAACTTCTATCCTTGGTTTGTCTCTCACATGCTCATCATCCCGTGGGTCTTGGTCCTTAAGAGTCTGACGTGGAGCATGGTATTGGTAAATGTGGACAAAATGAGGAATTCCTAAGCTGCTCGGCTGGTCTCATTCTTCACACCCCACAGAAGCAGCCTGCTATGGCGGGACTCATGCGTCCTGGCTTCCCTTGTGACTCTCTCACTGATCCACTCTATATTCAGCTCCTTTGGACTAAGTTTCTTCACTGCTAAAATGAGGCACACGGACTTGACCTGTGGTCCATTCTAGCATTGCAGTTCTCTGAAGACGTCGCTGTAGCTGCCAAAGTAGTTTGAACAATCTCAGATGGTTCATTATTAGGCTGGACTTCAGCTTATGGAGACATGTGGAACAGTTTGGGCAAATATGAAGGGTACATTTAGTTCTCTTTCCTTGGACACATGAAGTAATAGATTCATTGGAATATGAGCTCTTCCTCCACCCACTTCCATCAATTCAGAGTAGATTTTTTTTTTCTCTCCTTTCAGTTCTCCAGCGTGTTTATCAGCTTTGAAGGGAAATTTTAAATCAGGCAGTAGTCAGAAGGGCAGGCAGAGCTCAGCTCATTAGAGGGGGAAAATTCCTTCATGAAATTTCAAGCGAACTGGCCTGGGCTGTTTACCAAGAAATTCTCTTGAACCGTGGTTTTTAGGACTTTTGTTTTGTTTTGTTTTAGTGAAATGTTTTGCTTGATTTAAAGCATTAAATATAATATGTAAAATTAAATTTTAAAAAGTTTCTGAGTGCTAACCTGAGCAAGCAAAATGGACTTCATTCTTGTTTCTGGATATTTCTTCTTTTTTTTTAAAGATTTATTTATTTATGCATACAAGAACTGGGGTACAGGCCACAGGTGTCGGGGCAGTGTGAGAAGATTCACCAGAGACAGAGTGGGGAGCGGAACAGGCAGATTGACTGAAATATACTGCTGAGGGGAGCAGTGGGTGAGACTGGAGAGGTCTGCTGCACCATGTGGATCACCTTCCTCCCTGGGAATCAAACTCTGCAGTAGTTACAGATAGCGTCATTGTACTGATGCTTAACCCCTTGTGCCACCAGGGAGGCGCCTGGATATTTCTTCTTTACTTCAGGTACCAAGGGCTTGGTGATGGACTTAATCAAGAATCAGCAGATGGTTGCTTTGTTTTCTTAACTCCCAGTTTAGATTTAGCCAAATTGATACCTTCTGAAATGTGGTCAGTTAAAATATTTCAGAAGGAACTTCTATATTAACCTGATCTCTGGTTCAGGAGCTAGTACCATCTAATTAGTGTAGCAACCATTTTAGCCCCTCTCTGCCTCAGTTTGTGTAACAGATTCGTGACGAATTAAAAGAGAAAGTATGTGTGAAAAGCAGCATCAGTATTTTTTAAAAACTCCCTGGATGATGACAATGTGCACCCAGAATTGAGAACTGCCTTTCTCCAACATGGTACAAAATGCTGGGAGATGGTGGTTTTATTCAGTACTAGACATTCTTGGTGAATGAAGAAAGGAGACAGAGACTAGTTTCTGTCCTACCATGTTTGTTATTTAGCATTTCTGAGCAGTGGTCAGTTGTTTCAGACTCTTACGAAAGGACAGACGAGTGCTTTCCAGTTCACTTCCATTGCCTGCCGGGATTGGGAAAGTCCTGGGTCTATGGAATTTTCCATGACTCTTCATCTGCACCATGAGTGTTCACTGCAGTCACAGAGCTGCTTGGGGTGTCTGCTGTTATAGCTGCCTTTTTTTTTTTTTCCAGTGTCAAATAGATGTCTAAACTCAACTTACAAGTCTTGGCATTTGTTTGTGTTTAATACTCTAGTTCTAAGGACAAATCAGAGAATGTCATCTGAATTAACTTTTTGTTTATAAAGTGAGTCAGCTTGAGGTATCTGTTTGGCCTGATTTCCTCAGGTATCATGTTTCTTGTCACAAAACCACCTTTTGTGGGATGGAATAGGGAGGGCAGGTGTTTTGTTTCTGGAGGCATAAGCTTCGGGTCCAGAGCTGGTGGAGTCTCCAGCAGTCAGGTCACTCATTGGTGGTCAGAATCAGCTTCTTTTTTTTTTTTAATTTTATTTATATATATTTTACATCATTGTTCATTTTTTTTAAGATCACTTTCTTGATTCTTTGATTGGAAGAATCTTTAATAATGACAGCTAGTGGAAGAAGGATCCAATAATATAACAACCTAGTTGGTTATGGGGGAATTTAAAGTCGTATAATTTCAGGAGACTACTGAAGCAATATATCTCCTTTTCTTTAGAAAGCAATTCCCTGTATCTCATGGAGAAAGGACAGCAGTATCAGATTAAATTACTAAAATCCGTTATCCCAGATCAGTAGATGGAGGCTCATCCCCTAAACCCTCCTTGAGAGAAATTCGGATCAGTTCATGTATTTTGAATAGGAATGAAAGGCAGATTCTGCTTCCTTTCTGGTCTCTACTTAAGTGTTCCCTGACCACCCAGAGTAGCTCCCCTTCCCACCATCATTCTCTGCTCCTCCCTAGCCTTTATCCTTACCTGACAATGTAAGATTTGTGAAAGTAGCGACATCTCAGTTTCTCCTTTGTGTTTCTGTGACCTGGAACCTAGTAGGTCACAGGTTCCAGGTTTAATAAGTAAATATTTGTTTAATAAGTAAAACATGCAATGGTTTGAATGGTTAGACTTCTGGTTTTTGTCTCTTTGTTCTTTGCTTTGTTAGTTTAATGATTCTCAAACTTCATTGGGTATGAATTAGATTACATATAAAACATCTGCTCAGGACTTTGTGAGCAATATAAGAAAATTTTAAAGACACATTTGACTGGGTGCTCTCTTTCGCTTCTGACCCAGAGGTAATATTGTGTTACTTCCTCCATTATTAGAATGCCTTGTTACTTAGATTGTGGAGTGAGCAGAAGAAGTTATGCCCATTTGGTTCAGCTCCACTGGGGCCCAAAAGATGTGTTACATATTTTAGTGGTTCTGGTGATCAGAGAAGGGGAGCTCAAGTGTTACAGTCCTATTGGGAGCTGGTGGCCTGAAATTTAACCTTGGCTGTCCCAGGAGAAGTGGGCATGTGGAGGACTCTGTGGGTCTTAGCATTTGGAGAATGGCTAAAATAACACCCATTTTCCCTAAGTCTGGAAGTTGTGATGATGATGATAACTGGAGATTAGGTAAAGATACTTTTGTGGTAAAGATACATGAATTCAGGAAAGAATTAGTGAGAGAAAGGACAGAGAGGGACTGTGATGAAACCTCGCTTCTCTGTATCACAGGCCAGGGTGTGTTCTGCTAATAAGTCTTTTGTTATGAGGCATGTTCCCTTAACACAGTGTGTCTTAAGAACTTTAAGTGTACTAAAGGTCTGGTGTAAACAGAATAGATTACCGCTTTATTAAAGCACTTTTTTTCATCCTGATTGAAAATGGTCATGTTCTAACATGATTTCACCAGTTTTTGGTTGTTTTTGTTCCTCCCCCATTATTTTTTTAGTTGGCTGATTGCAATTCTGGCCCAACTCAACCCTCTCTTTGGACCACAGTTGAAAAATGAAACCATCTGGTATCTCAAGCATCATTGGCCTTGAAGAAGAAGACCCACCCTCCAGTGTCAACCATTGAGGTGACTATACTCTCAGCCTTTTCATCAGCATTGTCAAGAGTTTGTCTTGATGTTTCCTCAGCATTTTACAGCCATTTTAACACTTGGGGAGGGCAGGCTGCTGAAAGCAAACACGATGGAAAGAGCAGAAATAAATTTGGAACATAGGCTGTTCACTTTACCAAAGGAATTGTCCATAGATCCTTTTAAATTCGACTCTTAGCCTGCCATTAATATAAATGAAGTCTGCATGTAGTCTTTCAAACACAGCCCAGAAACAGGGCTGTCTATACTTGGCATTTCAGGATTTTAGCAACTTTAAGCAGTGGCTGACAGACTTACAATTAAGGGCATTTCTGAATGCTTTACATATTTAGAACATTGGTCTTTAAACTGCAGGTTTTACTTGGTTCTGAAGATCAGAGAGATAAGGAGAACTACAGCATTGAGTTCTATTCACTGGCTGCAAGTCAAAACTTGTCATTTCGTTTGTTCCTCTGTCCATTATTTTGCTGAATGGAGGTTAGCTCTAAATGCTTAGCTAGGTTCTGGTCAGTCTGTTTTGGCAAGTCTACTTCTTAGGTGGCACTTGTGACTTCATACTGCCTCACAGCAGGCCACTCATGACACCTGGCTCTCCTGGGGAGAGTTCCTAAGGTGATCAGTGGGTTCAGGTGACCACAGCCTGGTCCTTCCAGTCGTAATATTCCCTCTCATCCAGTTACTTTGCCCACTGATAAGCTTAGCCCCAATTGAGCATTTCAGTAGAAATTGCAAGATAGTGATTTTCTGGTTCTTTCATTACTTCCGCATTTGATTCAGTGAAATGTTTCTATAAAGATGAACTTAACCCTCATCAACCAAGATTACTTGGTAACCTCGAAATATAGATTATACAGGAAAAGTAGAAAAGCGATTTAATTAATTTAATTTTCAGAGTAAGATGTTAGTGCCCAACTTACTTTTGGGGTATCCAGTGAGTTTTTCTTTCCTTTTTAAATATAATCAATTATATTTGTTATTATTTTTCTATTCAGTCTTTTTTTTGGTGGGGGGCATGTATGGGAGCCCTACTGTATTGGCTTCTATGTCTTTTTGATAATAATCTTTGCGTGTTTCCTTACTTTCTGGCAAACATGTCAAGCTCTCCCACACCCCTCTTGCATATTTACTGTCACAGACTTGGAACCTGCTGTTCTTCCGATTGCTTTCTCAGTTACCCACAGAGAGTTTCCCTGGTTCACTAGTCAGTCCCCAAGTCTGGTTGACCCTGGTTCCTTTCGATCACAGTGGGATTTGAAGACCAAGCTCTGGTTGCTGGGTGACACCATTTCTGCTGGTTGTTGCTTCTAAGCCTTAGGGTGAACAGATGCAGGCACATAGGCTTTTAAGAAAAGGAAAAAAATCATGAGTTAGTATTTCTAATTCAAATTTAATGTTATGAGTTTTTACTTGACTTTTTTGGGTTTTTTTTTTAATATTTTATTTTATATAATTCTTACATCATTTTTCATTTTTTCACAATGTGTGCATTTTCATTTTGGTTATAGTCCCCATACAATTGCACCCCCCCCCTTATTTTGACCCTAGTCCTTCCTCTCCCCGTGCCTCCCCCCACCCCGCCCCGACCCCAGTAGTGTGTCTCTGGTTTATAGTTGCTTGCTGATTTTGATTTTTACTTTGTATTAATTAGCCTTTTTCCTGGTTCCTTATTTAGGACTTCTTTGGTTTTATATTTCAATATCATTCACATATGCTGAAAACCTTGCCTCTTTAAGACAGCAACTCAATTACTTTCACTTTCCTATCATACTTATAAAACAGATTGTAAATAACACCAATATAGGTTTAGGATGTGGTTTAGGATGTCTTAGAACAAATAAATGTTTTTTTCTGAAGTCAATTGAAATACCTATTTCCTCTGGTGGTTATCAATTCAATATATAGATTAGGTTGTTTCATTTCATGTTTGCAGTTGTTACCTTTTTTTTGAATATGTAAAGCATACTACCAGAGTCAAAATTATAAACAAGAGAAATTCAGAGAAGCTTATTCTTCTGGTATTTCATTTTGCAAAGAGTAGCAAATATATGTATTTATCTGCCTAAACTTCTGTGTGGTGTGTATCTCTTTCCTCTTCACACACAGCTATTACAGATAAGGTATCATATTATGTATACTATTCTATGCCCTGCTTTTTTTACTGAACAATTCATTCTAGAGTTTGCTTCTATTAGTGTATAGAGATCTTCCTCAATTCATTTTATAGCCATTGATGTCCTTTTGGGTTATTTCCAGTCTTTGTTATTGATAAAGCCAGATTGCTGTTCTGTGCATATGACATTTTGTATTTTTGCCAGTGATCTTTGGGTTAAAATCCTTGAAAATGATATCTCTGGACTAAAGGTTCATACACTTTTTCTAGATACTATTACCCTCTCTTCTATAGGAATCATATCTTTTTTTTTTTTTTTTTTTTTTTTGCATTTTCACTAACAGTAGATGAGAGTGCCTGTTTCCTTACAAACTGGATTTTTGACAATCCAATAGTAAATAGTCAGCTTCCCCCGCCCCACTTAGACATCTATCTTTGCTCAAAGGGGTTTTGACTTCCCTTTGAAACAGACTTTTATAATCTGATTCACAAGATATTTTTTTACTTGGCTGTTTTTACCAAGTTCTCCTGTTTTCTAGTCTTCCTTTTAACTAGATTGAATGTGAATGCAAGGTCATTGACTGGTATTTAAAGTGCCAGCCACTGCGGCCTGAGTTCAGTCACCAGCCAGGGAGCTAACCCACATGGTGCAGCAGACCTCTCCTGTCTCCTCCACTGCTCCCCTTAGCAGTGTATTTCGGTGGATCAGCCTATTCTGCTTCCCACTCTGTCTCTGGCAAATCCTCTCACTCCCCACACGTCTGCCTACGCCCCAGTTCTTGCATGCATAGATAAATAAAATCTTTTTAAAAATAAATAAATAAAACTAAGAACTTTAGACCTCAGACTTGAAACTCCTTCCAGCATTGCCTTCCACTTCCCTGAGCCTCAGTTCCTTCTCTTACAATAAGAGAATTGAGTCCTTCGGCTTGCATAACACTGGGGGTGTGTATCTGACAGTCTCATTTGCCTATTCTTTTCAGTCTTGTATGTCTCGTTAACATGACTGACAAATTTCTAGTATTTGCACTCTGGTCACAGCAGCACCAGACTGCTTGAAACCCTTGTATTAAAGGGTGTTCCTTTAAAAGCCCTTTAAAAATGCCAGCAAGAGAAGGACAGGGTCAGGGTTAGGCAAACCCTGATAATGAACATCATGTCACATTTATTCTGCATCTGAAATGGTGTTTATGGTAGTACCCTAACTCTAGGGAGGTAGCACATCAAGACATCTAATTGCTGCCTAGCATTGGAGCAAAGAGAACTCTAATACAGGACTTCTCTTTTCTTGGTGGTATAATAAACAAATCAAGCTAAATTCCCCTTGAGCTTTGACACAACTGGTTTGATAAAGGAGTAAAGAAACTAGGTTTGCACCTGTCTTCACCTGGTAGGGAAAAATGTTTGATTTTGTACATGATTTCTTTAAGAGGGCACAAAGCAAGAGGTATGAGCCAGACTCATTTTCAGCACAGAAAAATGAGCAGTCGCAAAAGCATTAGAGTAATTTTATACAGAAGAAATTGAATTGCTCTGACACAGTTAAATGCCTAGCTGGTCTTTTCCTACCTGCATAACTTCAATTGCCATAATTTTCTTTCATGTATTGTTGATAGCTGAGTGATAGCACATTATGTTTATTGACTAGAAATCTTGCCCAGTACTTCGAAGAACAGTATTCACTCTGTCTCTGCCCTCTGCTAGCCTTGTCTGCTATCCTAGATTCCTAAGATTCTTAGGAAACTATCACATCAAGGTTGCTGTTTTTTTCCATGTTCCATTTTCCTACAGCCTTGCAGGGAGGGAGGTGTTGCTTGCATGGAATCTCCTAAAAGTGGATTTGGCTACAGACCCACTTAGTTGGTGAACCACATCATTGTAATATATTAGAAGAGCTTATATGGTTTACCATAGTCCAGAAGGGCAAAAATTCTGTTTTATTATGAGATCTGGACAGGAGAGGAGTAGAGAGAATTGGTAATAGGCCTCTGCCCCGGAGGACCTGTTTTTCTATGTGTTCCAAACTTGAGTGCTCATGAGGTGCATAGTACTGAGTGGTATTTACTTGTACTTGAGTGGGAATTTCAAGGGGGACTGTGGGTTATGAAGGGGTTTGTGATATGTTGAGAGGTTGGAATTAAGACTTACTTGTGAAAAGTTAAACAGTGCAAAGTGTTTTGTGGATAAAAAGCCTGTCTTTCACTCTGACCTCTCTGACTCGATATTCTCCCACACAGTCACAGTCATGTCTTCATTTCAGTTCCTGATTTCATAGTTTCCCTTGTCACTTAAGGTCAGGCCCTATACATTCTTCAGTTTCTTTCTCCTTTTCCCTAATCTAGTTGCTTCTACTGGGTCCCTTGTGTTTGCCCTTCTTTTCTGTTCCTCCTTCAGGCACTCTGATTTCTGACCCAGATGCCCACAGTAGTTCCTCATTGGGTCTCCCTGTCCCTACAGTCAGTATATCTACAAAGCATCACCCTGACTTTTCGTGCTGTAGCACTTCCTGAAACACATCACCACTGGGCCCGGAAGTTTTAGTCATTCCCTATGAACTACCCCAGGGTTTTATTTTAACCTGAGCTTTCTGATTTTAGTGAATTTATGCCTCTGAAATGCTGTGTACCATGTTGGAAGCTCAATTTCTGTCATTGTAACCAGAATCCCATGAGCCACAACAGATAAGGACAACTAATCTACAGGTTACATCCCACCTTCTAACTTGGGGGGCAGGTCCCTTCCTGTCTTCCCGCAAACCACCGTTGTAGGCTTTCTTTTCACTTTTCTCTGTGAACTTTTGGTTCCAGCCCTACTATTTGCACATCCTTGACCTACTAACTTTACTTAGTTTTTCCTGTTTCTCACCACCCTATAGCATTCATTGCCCTATGGCATGCATTACTTTTTTTAAAAAGGAGATTGGTAAACACACTCTTCTCTAAACATTCTTTCTGATTGCTAAACTTTGCTCAACCATTTCTCTCTGACCATCCAGCTTGCAAATTCTTGTACTTCTTTTCCTGGTCACATGGCTGCTTCTACTCCAAAATGTATTTAGCTCTCCATCTTTTGCCATTCATTTAGTGCATTGCCTTAAATGATTAAATACATGTACCTTAGTTTGCTTAAATATCTCTTGTAGTTAATCTACAATTAATACATACCTTACACCTAGTAGTAAAGAAGGAATTATTTTATGAATTTATCTGAAATGAAAAAATAAAGATAAAAATGAAACCTATTTGAGTAACACATGTATTCATTCATCCTTCTCTGAATAGATTGTCTGATTCTGGGAATACTAATATTTTTGTGATATCTTTATTCTCAGTTTTGTCTGAAAGTAGCTACTTAGTGATTCCCTCATTTTACAAAATGAGAACGTGGACTCTTGGATTGAGTTCCCCACCCCCACACAGCGATTTCATGTTAGAGAGACGAACAGAATACGTGCTGCTTTGATTCATTCCAAAATCAAACCACAAGAAGTTTGTGCCATTTAACATAATGCTCGCTCATGTTGAGTGAAAATTGTCTCTTTTCTATGTGGGTTTTTTTTTTTTTTTTAATAGAGGCGTGCTTATTTATTTATTTATTTGTTTGTTTGTTTGTTTTTGTTTATACATGCACTGGGTACAGTCAGAAGCACGGGAGGGTGAGAGAATTCACCAGAGCCAGAGCGGGGAGCAGAGCAGGCAGAAGGACCGAAGTACACTGCTGAGGGGAGCAGCGGGCGGCAGGAGAGGTCTGCGCGCCATGTGGGACCCTCCTCCGGTGGCCGGAGAGCAGCCGGGGGATCGAACCGGCGCCGCAGACGCTGCGGGCAGCTTCGCAACCCAGCGCTCAACCGCTGCGCCACCAGGGAGGCCCCTCTACGTGGGTTTTTTAAAGACCTATTTTTCCCTTTTGTGATTGTTCATCGATCAGAAAAGGCCTAAGCAGTGAGGAAATCTAACCAGGAGGCTCTTCATAGAAAAGTAACACATTAGACATCTGCATTCACTACTTTAGCATTCTCAAGTACAATTATAATCTGCCTGCTACTGCCATCTATTCAGAGGAGCTGCTCTTCTGGCCTCAGAATGAGAAAAAAAAATATTAGGTTAGAGGAGAAGGTTTGATGAAGCCATGAGGCCACAAGAAACCAATAGCTGTAGTAATTTCTGCTCCCTGGCCTGACGGCTATTTTCCTAGTACATTACAAATTTGGGCCTCTAATTGTACTCAAGTGCAGTGTATTTGGTTTGCTGGGTCTTGCTTTAGCTGGTCCCCAGAAGTCTGGTGCTTTCTACCATCCAAAGTGGTTGGGCTACCCCTGCTTACACCAACAGCCTTAGGAGCTGTCCCACCCACGAGATCACAGGCCTTGAGCAACCTATCATTTCATCACACTGCACTGTGGATTCCCCTGGTTGTGCCCACTGATTGGAAAAGCATGCCTACATGCTTTTGACCATCAGTCTGCCTCCCACAAACCATGTCTCATTGTACTTTAACATCTCACCCTACCTGCATTTAACTTTCACCTTCAGTTAATTGTGTGTCACAATCAGTTTGTTTCCTTACTAGCCAACTTAAGCCTTGTGTGAAAATTGCCCTTTTTTTCATTTTCCTTTCTTCTTCATTGTTTTTTTAATTTCAGAAGTAGCACATGTGACTTTATTTATATAGCCATTATAAAATAAGCTTTATATAAAGGAGTTTATGCAACCACTGTTAGCAGTTTGATGTGTGAAGATACGTGTTTTAGATGTTGCTTGCTCTGCAAAGGTGGCATTGCAGCTTTAAGCTTCCAGAAAAAGAAATTTTTGTTTGTCACCTACAGTTGTAGCAAGAATAGAGAGCAAACCAGAATCAACCTGGAGTCCCAAGGAGCCTGCTTTTTAGGAGCTTGACGTAGGAAAACCTTGTCACACCTGTGGGAGCTCTGCTTCCTTGGTGCAAGAGAGGAAGAGCTAGTACAGATTCTCAAAACTCAAGTGAACTTGTTCAGTTCCAGTCCCATTAGTCTTAGCTTTGCTTTTCCTGCTTTCTGTGACGGAGTTAGACCATCACTGGTCATCTTCAGCTTAGCAAGGGCCTTGGTAATTGGACTTCTTGTCACAGCTCTGCAAAATCTGCCCAAACTTGTACTTGAATTGAGCTCATTTTTCATTCAGGTATTTAGTGAACACCTCTGTGTTTTAAATTATTGTCCTGACTGACTTTCTGATGTTAATCTTTTGCTTCCCTGAGGATGGTGTAAGGACCAGTTACTGGAACGACTTTGTCTTGCAGGTCACGGAGAGAATTCCTCTAGATGAAACCACCTCAAACCAGACTGACTTCTTTGACTCTCCCATTTTGGCCATCAGCTGCCTTAAACATTCACAGCACATTTGAATATCTTATTCTACAATGCAGTATTTTTTCCTGTCACCTTTTTTTATACTCTGATGAATCATGTGCCTACTTAACCTAAACCATGCTGGCTCCATAAAATGTTCCTGCACTCTTCTGCGACAGAAGGTGCTAGTCTTCTGAGCAATGCCTTACTCTCTCCTGGGAACCTATGGATTTGAAGATGGCTCCTGCCTGCTCACAACGTGGGAATCAACAACGTATTTAAAACTTACAAGACAATACGACTCCGCTGGAGCAGTTGGTAGGGGAGCATATTCAAAGGGCAGATCTGTCCCAACAGAATTACACCAAAGTCTATTTTCAGGATGAATCTTCTCATTTTCTCCATCTTTTGGAATAAATTATTTTTCTGCTTTCTATGGAAATCTGGCTTTGGTGTTCATTAAGCTCATTTTTGTAAGCTTTTCTATTTCTAGATAATGCCTTTTTAAAAAATGGTGCTGTTGCTCAAACTTGGGTTACATGCTAAAGCTGGCCATGTAGTTTGAGATGCCTGAAGAGACTGGTAAGTACTTTCTTAGCCACTCAGTAAGCATTTGAGTGCCTACTTTCACAAGGGCACTGGAGTAGTTAAAGATGCATCAACTAGTGTGCCTGGTAGTTGGGAGAGATGAGGTCATTATACATAGAATTACAGTCCAAGGCCAAGTTTGACCATTGTTCATAGGAAGGAGACCATGCTGCTGAGCAGGCCGTAGGTCAATACCAGCCACAGGGATGAGATAGAGATACCCTCACCAGTCCATTTATGTCACACCTCAGAAATGGGGCTGAAGGAATGAGTGATTTAAAGGGTCTGGGGCGGGAGTCAGTCATTCTGTGTTTCAGTAGCAGTAATTCACTCATTTGGGGGCTTGATTAGTTTTAAAGGATCAGAAATTAGACTGAACTCATGACCTTTTGACAGCTAGCCAAGAGTGGGTTTCCTGTTTTGCAGTTTGTACTTTTCTATTTCTCCCAAACTATCTGAATTCATTGTTTTGCTATTTTTATGGCCAAAGAGAGTTTCTAGCTGAAGTGACTGTCCAGCTCGGTTATTCCTTTCCAGTCTTACCTTTCATTTTGAACTTAAGTTTTTCTGACAATTTGGCCACACTGTCCTGTACATTCCATTCAAAGGGTCTTGAGCTAATTTCAGCAAATCCATGGAATCCATGGATTTCTGAATCCATGAAATCTGAAATTGAAGGGGCCAGAGTGATGCATACTGACCTCATCATCTTATTGATAAAACATCTGAGCCCAGACAGGGAGCATTACTTGCCCTGTTTAACACGGTTCTGTCAGCAGCAGATTGGTGGGGTTGAATCCAGTTTTCCTAACTTCCCCGCCAGGGCACTTCTCACTTGCTCCCTTGTCTCTCGCGGAGTTGCATTGGCCTGGAGCCAACCCTGGATTCTGGCTGGAGGGGAAGAATTCTGCCGTTGCGTATGACCAAGCTGTCTCCCATCAGAACAACTTACTTGACCCTTAATCAATATTTGTCATTTAAGAAAGCAATGCCAGGGTGACTGAGTACATAAACGAATGCCTCTGTCACTGAGCCCTGACTACATGAGGAAATGTGACTCCAGTACAGCTATCTGCAAGTCAAGCCCTCCCATCTCGGGTCACAGGGGTCTGTTTGGAACCTTCCCAACTTCCACTCCAAGGTGACTCTCCAGCAGACTATATTTTTTTTAAAGATTTATTTTATTGATTTATACACGCACTGGGTACAGTCAGAAGCGCAGGAGGGTGAGAGAACTCACCAGAGCCAGAGCGGAGAACAGAACAGGCAGAGTGACAAAATACACTGCTGAGGGGAGCAGCGGGCAAGGCAGGAGAGGTTGTCATGCCATGTGGACCCTCTCCGGCGGCTGGGGATCGAACCGGCGTAGCAAAGGCTGTGGGCAGCTTTGCAGCCCAGCACTCAACCATTGTGCCTTCAGAGGAGGCCCCAGACCATATTTTTGAAGCTAAACCTCTTGATGTTTTTAATGTAGTGGCACTTCCCTGGACATTGCTTTTGCCTATCCGGAGTTAAGCATACAGCCTTGGCTGCTGGGGAGCCTGCATTGATTCAGGGCAATAGACCTTAGCTGTTGTGTGCTTCGTAGCAGTGTCGGAGGGCAGTTTGGAGATTGTGCTCATTCATGATCGTGGTTTGGCACACTTCCAACTTAGTGGCATAGTTGAAGGCTGAGGTCACAGTCCTGGCTGCTCCCAGTCCCTGAGTTCTGCCTTATCCTGTCATTTGGAACGGAACCATTTTTGTATGTTTTATCCCCTCTAAGTGAAATAAATTAGACATTGGGAAGTAAACCAGATTACACTGCTTAATGGTTTGCACTTCGACTTCGTTGCAAATTGGTGAAAGCCAATTTCCTCAGGCATGAGTAAGGAAGACTAGTGAGTTGGCTGTAGTATTAATACCAGTCAGAAACAAAGGGACATGAGCACTAGGGGGCCTGAAGCTGTGCCAGTTTTGACTGTCCCTAGTGGAAAAATTCGGCTCAGTAAGCGCTCTAGGGAGGTAAAAAGCCCCAGTAAGGCAGCAGCTCCCCAAGCACTGGTGGGGCTTGTTCCTAACATGGTCCTAATGGCCTCATTCCATAGAGCCTTGGAAGAAGATGGGAACTCATTTCCTAAACAAATTGGAGCCCAAAGACCTCAGAGCAAGTTCGATTGCACGTGCCTCAAGCCAGCTGTAGGTGCTGAGCCACCACCTACCTGTATTACTACTGTTGAAGTGCAGGAAGGATGTCAACTCAGATTTTGTGAGGGAAATGCAATAGATTTACTTTGCCTGGGAAGTCATTTAATGTAGGTCCTGTTCCCTCATTCATGAAATTCTTGAGATAAATGCAATTAATACATAAACTCAGATGTTTGCTTCTTACCTCATCCTTAATAATTGAACCTTTCTGCTACAACCTGACCTGGCATCTGAGAGGAATGTGTGAATCAGTTCGCGTACTCCGGTGCTTGCCAGCCCAGATTGACAGGAGCTCCATCCATTCCTTTAAAGGATAGTGAAAATATCTCCCTCCTCTAAAGCCAGTTCATGGGATGGCCTCCTGGATTAAGACTAGACTAGGAAGAGACCTTGGTTCACAATTTACTGTATCACTTGCTAGTTTTATAACTTTGGACAAATCATTTCATTTCTGAGCCTCAATTTTTTCATTATAAAATGATGAAATACAGAGTTTCTATATTTCTGCTATACTAGGTTGTCACCAAATGGAATGTTGGTAGTGAAGTTGATTTGTGGATTATACTACACCAAGGGTATTTTCCAAGAAATGACAAAGTCCTCAGGATCCAATGACAGTACTTTTCTATGAACCTTAGGCTCCAGAGGGGCAGCCAGTTGATTTTTTTTTCTATGTATGGTTTCCATTTTGATTAGTCGTTTGTACTTGCATTACAGAAAAATAAGAGGTATGCATCAGGCTCCAGGTCTGAGGAGGAAGATGTATCTCTTACAAGAGAAACAATCATAGCAGAAGTGTCTGGGCCACATCCTTCCTGTCCTTCCATGTTCTACCAGATCTTAGACTAGAACAGGAATATTTCTGGCATGCTTTTGAAGATGTAATCTGATTTCTTTAAGCATTGCTTTGTTGTTTTCTTTAAACATAAAATGATGCCTATATACTTATTGCTGGCCCAACCTAACAGTTTATTCTGTCTGTCTTTAGTGTTACTTCATCTAGCTGTCTTTCTGGCAGTGGTAAATGTTCTACCATGCTGAGGCAACTTTAGAATTGAGAAGTTATTTTAAATTGTTGCTCAGAGTCGTGGGAAATTTGGCCCTGGATTTCTTCCTCCTCCAAACTCAGTGAATCAATTGCTGCAATATTAACTATATTTAAATTATATTTTTAAACACATACCTAGGCATTTAGAATGGCTTCTCATTATTCCATGCCTCTATGTAAGAACAAATATATTGAAAATGAAGATGGACTCCAGCATATTACTTCCCCCTCCACCCCAGCTTTGTTTCGACTTTCCCTTTGAGTTGCATGGATGTAATGAATTGTGGAAGATTCATAATGTTCAAGGGAAAAGAAGCACAATATAAAATACCACCACAAGGGATATTTATCACAGCACAGGTCATTGAAACCAATCTTAATGCCTAACATCAGGCGGTGTTTAAATAGGTCATGCTACATCCAAATGAAGGATTATCATAGTGCATTAAATCCTTCCCCCATCCCAGAATATATGCCTAAAAAGAGATGAAAGAGGCAAACAAAACCATTGACATTACTTGCTCTTGGATGGTAATTGCAAGTGATCATCAATTTCTTTTTCCTTCTCAGCATTTTCTCCAGTGGAAATATTAGCTTTAATAATAAAAGGTAATAGAATTTCATATTAAGAGAAAAAAAAAGGACTTTAAACTTAGCGATACTGCAGGGCCTCCCTGGTGGCGCAAGGGGTTAAGTCGCAACCTATGAAGCTGTCCACAGCTTCTGCAGCACGAGTTCGATCCCTGGTTGGGGAGCTACCCACATGGCGCAGCAGACCTCTCCTGATTCGCCCGCTGCTCCCCTTAGCAGTGTACTTTGGTCAATCTGCCTGTTCTGTTCCTCACTCTGTCTCTGGTGAATCCCTCACCCCCCACACCTCTTGCCTGTACCTCAGCTCTTGTAGGCATAAATAAATAAATCTCAAAAAAAAAAAAATAAACTTAGTGATACAGGAAAAATCCTGGTGGAAATAGACCAAAATGTTGATAATGATTATTTTACAACTTGGTGTATTTTCCACAAAGCATGTGAGACTTTGATAATTGGGGGAAAATAGGTATTTGGGGGATACTTTTGTCTGAATGGTGTTAATGCTTCCTCAAGCATTATGTAATTATCTCTCACACACATACCCCTTTTTCTTTAGAGTAATTCAGGGTCAGGGGAAATGAAGTCAGCTAGGTTTATGAAAACACTGACACTTTTGAATCAATGAAAATCAATGAGTTCACACAGACTGACTCGCTTTCATATAGTGCAGGACACGACCAAGTGCCCAGCTTATGCAAGCAGCCTCCTTCTGTAGAGGTGCCCCCAGTGACACTTTGGTGACATGAAAAGGGAGCATTGATTCTGATTCTGCCCACATAGCAAAGTGGAAGCCTGGGGCATTCATGTTCTGGGGTCCCACATGGGTTAGAAAAAGCCACACTGTTCTTCCACTCCCAGCTGCTCCAAGCAAGGCTTTCATTCAGCCTGTGCTGCGGCTTGAGTTCAAACCCCCTCCTTGTGAAATGTTTTAGTTCTTTTTCCCTAACTCCCACTCCAAGCCTGTACCCCCAACCCCCAGGCCAGCTCCAAAGTGGGAATATTCTGATGACTGAGGCTAGA